ATGAAAAAAAAACTTTGGGAAAGACCCAGGAGGGGGTTCGATACAACTTTAATAATGCGTAGCAGGAGCTAAATGAGCCATTCTGCGGTACTTTAAGACGTCTTCCCTCCACCCATCCCCCCCGCTCCACCACCCTCCGCCTCACCCCCCTCGCGGTCTCAGGGCCTGAATTATTAAAAGTGTTGTTTTCCCTTATTGCATTGCAGCAATGTGCCTCGTTGCTAGAAGTGAGCTGCACATTCTGGAGTTTGAATGCTTAAAGCGACCCACCTCCAGGAGCAGAGCCAGGGGAGGGGGCCGGAGAGCAGGCAGCCCGGGGCACACACACGCACACACACGCACACACACACACAGATACATGTATCTAAATAACAACAGTCACCTATAATGTTGACACCACACTCAGATGCCTTTCCTCCAGTGCTGCTCTCAGATATTAAGCAGCTTGTGAACGGAGAGCTTTGTGAAAGGGATCTAAATGTAATTCTATGTTATTATATTGTTTAGGGCTGCAACCAGTGTCGTGTAGTAATTTATTTGTGTAATCAGATTACAAAAAATAGCTGCAGCAGGGGAATATTAAACATTTTAGCATGAAAAGTTACCTGAGTGAGAAATGAGCTATGAAAATTGTCGACTATGTTTCTGCCGATCAACTAATCAGTTAATTGAATAATCAGTTTCCCTTTTAATACTGTTAAAGCAAATCAATAATCCACATAATTGCATATCTAATGCCCATAGAGGAAAACTAATGAAGCAACGCTGGCATCTTGTTCATGTCTAATCAAATAGTTTGCACTATTTTCTAAAATTAAGTCACATTGTTCTCGATTCTCTTGCAGCGATTACTGCATAATGCATTTACTTTTTTTGTTGCAAGATGCAGGTGAAACTAGTCTTACTGCACTTGTTTTAGGAAAACTAGGTTTTTAAGACTCATAAGATCAACAGTTATGCATTGCAATCAGCACATCATCTCTGCTGTAATGGATAGCAGAATGATAAATACTCCACTGTGCAGAGTGCTTGAGCTGATTCTAATCCACAAGTTTAGCCCATTTCATCCAAGTACAAATGTATGTATGTTTTTTTCTTTGGAAAAAAGTTTGAGAAATGGTGAAGCTTAAGGTTGAATATTGGCATTTAGAATAATTTATGAGCAGTTTCAATCCTGACATATTGGTAGCAGCATCAGCCTTGAAATCTACGTTGGTTAAATCCTCCATGTATGTCTGCACCGAGTTTTAAAACGAAGCTCTGACTCACAGCCAAAAGAAAATTGAGTCAGACTCAACCAGGCATCACTCACTTAATAAAACAATACCCTCTCCTTCCCTTCTTCTGCTCCTGCAGGTACCGTACACGTGCAATGATTTGGAGATTACATAATTTGATGCCTGTAGTTAAATACCTTATTCTGAAATGCAAGTTCCCAAAAAAACATATAGATACTGTATACATCAGTGAAGGAATAAAACGTTATAGATAATTCAAAGTAGACTGCAGTTTGCATTCCTCTACCCCCCTCCCTCGCAAGCCACACACACACACACACACACACACACACTCCCTCGCCAATGCACACTTTAATCACACAATTAATAATTAATCAGAGGTTGGGCTCAATGCTGTCGAGTCTGCAGATGAGAGAACACCCAACTGCTGAGAGGGGCCCTAAAAACGCAGGATTAACAACCAAAAAAAAGGATTATCAACAGCTCATCGTGAACCAATAAAAAGCAACATGTCATCAGTTTAGGTTCGATTTTATGAAATGTAAGAAAACTACAGATGCTCCAGCGGTGCACACATGCAGAGCTGAATCCATTTTTTATAAACAAAAATAAAAACCTCGCTGCCTCTGCAGCTCTGCAGAGTTTGTGAGGGGGGAAATGAAGCTGTCTCTTCTATGTGACATTTTCTACATGCAAATATGGAATATTTGATTATGTGCTCTGTTCGCTGCATGTAAACACCATTAATAATACCATAACAAACTGCTTATAGAAGAATAGGTCAGGGATGTGTCGCTGCTGCTATATGTTATCCAACAGGAAAAACAGCCGATTGATTTCAGTATATTACACTGCTCAGGAATCGACCGTTACAAACACCCGTGATCATTTTGTTCAATTTATTTATTCCCACTCATGTATTAAATATTTTCCAATACTGTAAGCAGGGAGATCAAAAGTCATCGGTTTATATCCTCTTTTTTCCCTTTATTAGTCCTGCATGCGCTCTGCGTTGCCAGTGTTGCAGCAGGGAGCAGAGTGTTTACCCAGCTGTAATTACAACATGCACAATGACCTCATTCTGCTGTGTCAGTAGCGGTAATGTATAGCCCTTGATCTTAAACTGCAAAGAAAAATGGTATGCACTTATTTTCAATATGCTGACTACATTCCCGGCATTTTTTAGACATGGCCGTGACGGCGGATCAGAATTTGATATAAGCACTGCTGCTCCTATTCGTCTGACAAGGTCTCTCTGCCTTAATATGCATTCAATAATGTGAAATGATATTAGCTGTAGGAGCTCATTGACTGTGCACTCGGGGTCTCGCGGTGTCTCTCTGTATCTGTCTGTATCATGCTCTTTATCTGTTCCTCTTCCACACACACATGCACAGAAGAAATGGAAAGAAAGGGGGAGGCTTGAACCGCGGATAGCAACAGCAGCAGAGCAATCACACTGAAGAAATGCCCCCCACGCCTGGCCCATTAATAACAGTAATACGCACACCGCGCCCAAGCCAGCACTGCCGAAAGCACCACTGACACTTTAATGGGCATTTTTTACTTTTGTTTTTAAATAATGCATGTGCTGCTTGTCAGCACTGCTTCACTCCACCCCTAGTGTGCCTTTGCAGCGTTCCTTTGTGCAGAAATTACAATGGGGACCTGTGTTTTCTGTGCTGCCTGCTCCATAAGCTGCATTCATCACATACATGGGGACGTCAGTGTGCAGTACATCACACTCTTGGGGACATGTGTGTGTGGGCACACATCCATGTGTGTTTTTGTTTGTGAAGGCCCCTCATTGGCACTGAGCTAATTAAGAGGGTCTTTGCGAGGGTGAACTGTGTGCCGAGGCTCAGTGGCCGTGGACGCGACTTATATAGGAGGGTTGACGCAATACATTCTCCAGCAGGCTTGACAGGATGCCAGTGTTGTGGTGCATCTGTCAAGCATATGCTGTTCGATTTTTTTTTTTTAACTTGGAAAGCCTCGTATAGAGCCAAAGTTGAACCTGAAACTTCTGTTCTAGACACATACGTACATATATAAATATATATATATATTTATATATGTATGTATATACAAGCCCAAGACCTTTGCAGGTTAAACATCGTCAGCAGCGGGACATACTGAGACCAGTCGTGTGGAGAGCAATGAGAATGGACAGTGAGGGAGATTTTTTTTTTAGATTACAGCTAAGATGTTGTGGAGATAACGTTACGAGAGAGCATTGGTGGGTATCCTTGATAAGGGAGAATATACAATGATGTCCTCAGTGTAGTCGTCACAGGGGACCCAGGAAGACGAGACACGTCCAGCTAGAGGGGTTTGTCCCCTTCGGTGGGTTGTAAAAAATGTAAATATCTTTATATATGCATATTTTGATACACAATCTGGTCAGTTATTTCTGTCTTGGTGCAGTGGAGTACTGTAAAGTGAGCTGCTGGTTTTGTATTTTTTTCATTGTTGTTGCCAACTTCCTGTTTGCTTGTAGCTGGTAGATTTTTTTAGCTGTTTGCTAAACACTCTTACGTGTGAATACTATGGGTTTTATTTGCATTGTAGTCACACATTGCACACCCCATCCTCCCACCCCACCCACGCTTATTTGTCCTGGAGCCAACCCTGGACTTATTACCCGTCTTAAAACTTCGTGGGAGATGTAATAGTTTGAAATTAATTATGACATAATGTTTTTTTAAATATGAAAAAGAGTTGAAATTGCTACATCATGTAGATACTTTGACTTTATCTTGGAATATGGATAGTAATGAAAACAAGCCTAAACACATTCAGTGACAGACGTCACAAGATCAGTTTTATATAAATAAATATAAACATAAAATTGGAAACTCGTAAGTGGATCATGAAACGGCTCCGTCACTTGCATGCCCTAAACTGCTATTTACCACTCAATAAGCAGCATCTTGAATTTGTATCAGGAGGGCGGTTCAGTTTGTTACCTTGCTTCAGATGGCATCTGGTTGAATACTTAGTCAGAAAAGTACACTTGGTTTAAAAGTCCAAGCCTTGAGGTTCTATCTGTGTAGACAATTTTAAGATCCCAATGTCACTGCAGCAACAGCTGCTTATTTTGTAACAGCAGTGCAGAGTGAAACAGAACAATAAAACTGTATATAAAAAGTAAAATAGAAAAACATACATTTCCACCGTGTGTGTGCCTCTATAAAGTTGGTTTACTATCTTCTAGATTAATTCTGACTTTTTGACAGTAAACTCTGAAGTGCTACCTGTTAGAGACCAGGATCATGACTGTGAGCAAAAACCATTTTATTTTGGGTGTGTCATTTCTGGGCTGCTTGTTAAAAGGTTTTAAGGAATATGAAGCTTTTAATGTGACAATGAAGAATTTACAGGTTCAGGACACTTTAAGAAGTTTTTCTCACCATTGCCACCTTCATATTGGACCTTATTCAGTTATTTAGGAGGACTATACTGTGTAGTTAGATCATCCTGGCCCAGTTGTGCAACTTTATTGATTGACAAGCTACCCATCTGTATCCATCATTACCTGTGAGGTCAATAAGCCTCTGGAATCAATATTTATAACAATCGATGATGCATACTCTATTATTTCTGTGCAATTATATCCTTTGATTGAATTTCCCTTTTTTCTCAGAGCTAAGTGTCTTGCTGCTGGAGTGCATGCAGTTGCCCCTGGCTGCTCCCTGTCCGTTTAAATGACGCCTGTCTGTGTCTCTCTGTGTCCCCGTAGGAAACACGTTGTGTAAGTCAGGAAGCATTGCTGTCTTCGGGAACGTGGTGTACAGCGGACTGCTGAACGATCACCTCTGGCATTTGGGAGTGCCCCTCTTTACAAGACTGGTAAGAGCAGCAGGCCCCTGTGTTCACACTTACCTCCATTTTGTCAGGAGAGTTTCATGCAGTACGGTTGAACCCAAACAGGCTTCAGGTGCAGAATTCCCCAAAGTCTCTAATGGGCAGCTTTTGATGCCTGCTCTGTTGACATGTGTTAGTTGAAGTTATACTACAGGATGTGACAAACGAGAGCACCCCACCACCTCTTAGCATCTTATTTCATATCAGAGTTTTTCAGGCATGAGCTTCAGGTGGGAAAGTCCCATGCGAGGCGTAACAGAGTCTGCTTCTCTGGCCCTCAAAACAACAGTGAAGCCATATACTGAATGGATTCATTTCTTCCCAGTTGAAGCTGCCCTGGTGTCTAGTTTCCACTAAAAAAAGGCAGACTAAATAATTAATGAAATTTAGTTTTATGGCAAGAACTTAAAAAAAAATTATACGGCTTTAATTAAGAGCCGGAGCAGCTGAAGCCTGTGTTAAGAATTAATGATAAATGTCTATCCCTAATTGTCAAAGGGAAATTGAATGTTTGTTTTACACTTACTCTCACTGGCGCTGGAATGTGAGCTGCGATACAGAAGAGATTCTTGTGAACGGCATAAACCACGAGGATCAGAGAGCAATTTTCCTAAAGAAAAAAGAAATTCAGCACAGCACTTTTTCTTCCCGTTAATTACCCTCTTTCTAAGCGGGTCGCAAGTTTTCATCAATGTTTATTATTGATTAAATCTGTCGTTGTAGCTGTCATTTATGAGTCGGGAATTACTGTTGATTGGTGCACAAGGGTTGCATATAATTGGGTTACATTAAATAGATAATTCAGCTGATCTCATAAATGTCTAATGTGAAGGCTTGTTTGATTATCAATTAATGTCAAACGGAGATGCAAGAGGCTGTTAGGATTCCAGTTGGGTTTGCTTGTGTTGTGAGTGGCAAAGCTACTGAATCCCTCTCTTCACAACTGTAAGAGCCTGCAGCTTGTACAGTGAAATATATACATTATATAAAATACACGCACTAATGAATTCAAAGTAAAACTCAAGCATGTGTGCTCTGACACACACACACACACACACACACACACAGTACACACTGTATCCAGTAAACAAGTCTTTGAAAGATGAAACAAATGATAAAGACATTAAACATGACAGCTGACAGAGATTTGGCTTTCAATTAACCAGAAATTGTTGTTATTATTCTGTTGTTATTAGTCATGAAGGAGGGAAATAATTAAACTGATATTTTCATAGTTCAAAAGTCTCGTCATGGCACCTTTTTAAAAGCGTAGAATTGTCATAGTAATTTCTACCATATAAATAGTTTCTCCAATAAATTCCTCTTAAAGGGGCAGTCCACTGATTTTGCAGATCAGTATCAGTTTACTTTGTATGTTTAGTCCTGCTCAGTTGCTATAACGTGTTATGTGGCTCTTTCAGGGCTTTGTCAGTCTGAAAGAAATACCCTGTTATCATGTTGTCATTAAAATGTGCTGGAATTTACCAGGCTGGAATGTAGCTACTACTGCGTTGCATTATGGGAAATGAAGGATGCAGTGCTTTTGGAGTTTGACCCATGTTAGGGACTAAAAGCTAAGATATCTCTATATCTAAGCCTATGCTGCTTTGATTTCAACCACGCTCTATTTAATCTGTCTCGAGCAAGTGGTGCTGAAAGCGAAATCGGCATTTTGGCGAACTTCCTGTGCGTTCTAGCAGTTAGCAGTGCCTGGAATTCTGCTTCCTGCCCTAGAGAACTGCCTCTGTGTGAAGCTTCCTCTCTTAACTGGATAAAGGGGAGCGGGATACCAGAAAATGTATTATCTGTTTACGGTAGAAAGGAGAGACTCTAGATCGGTATGATGGCTGTCAGAATGTAGAGCTATTTAATAGTTATTTTAATAATAAATTTCGCTTACAGCTACTTTAAGTTCAGTAATAAAGTGCTAGTGTGTGCCTTTCTACACAAATTTGTGTAAAATTTCCTATTTGGTCCTAAATTGGTCCTAATATTTCTTCTGCACCATGACGCCAAAATGCAAACTAATACAAAGTGTTAATATGAATTTGCACTTGAACACACACGTTACACATGTGGTGAAGACAGCTAACGACAGCTAACGACAGCTGCCACGGCGTTAACGCCCTCGGTGTCCCCTCTTGGACCGCTGAGTAACGACCAGGCTCACAGGCTGCAGGAGCCCTTGTTGAAGCGAAAGGTGCGACTTCCTGCTGCGACAGAAAGGTGTGGCCTTGTGTAGAACTCGGTGTGCCTGCTGTCGACACACCGGGTCTGCCCGGCAGTGGTATCAGCATGACACGCCGCAAGCCTTCACATCCCCAACACACAGCCCCTAATTACTGCACAGCCCTGCCAGTTTGCAGCCCTGGGCCAGTACTCCCTGCTCAATGCCAAGGTGTAAACACTGCATTATTAACACTACATACAGTCTGTGCACACGCCTATGTTTAATATACTCAGCGTATGTCTACATGGAGGCGTTACTTTAGTGGGATTCTTTACATGGAGCCATACAATAGATTTATTGTTTCCCAGACAGTGAGCTCCAAAATCACCAGATGGGCGATTTGCTGCGTATAGTGTAATGTATGCTTACAAATGATGTTTAATGATGTCTTCCAGGGCTGGGAAACAAAACATTACCGTTTTCAAGACTAAATATGCAGGCCATGTCAGAATTCTAGAGTTAAAGAAATAACTAAAACCATTCTTGTTATTTTATGCATATTTATTGGCTGCAGGAGGGTATCTTCTTCTTTGTCATTACATCAAGCCATGGCCCAAACGTGAGCTAACTTATCACCCATTCGATTTTATTTCACAAAATTAAAGCAAAAATAAAATGAGGTTAAAGCTTAAAACCCATCCACCCGTAATCTATACCTGCTTATCCAGCATTCATTGGGTAAGAAGCAGGGAGTACCCAGACTATTTGCCAGTCTTTAATGAGGCTGACATATTTATAGGTAGACAGCCATTCACACTAATATAAAAAATAGGCAAAAGCAGCAGAAATAGAATACAGAATATAATATTCATAGGTATGTTTCATTAGTGTATAATCACCTGAAAAGAACAATCATTGTGTTTTCGTTACCTTAGAATGGGACGTTGTCACGTCCACCGTAGTTTCAAACGCTTGGAAGGCAAGCGGTATTCAGTTGGTTGCAATCTGCCGCTAAATCCTACACACTAATCCTTTAAAACAATATAGATAACATTCTCAAACATACAAAATAAGAAGTCTAACAATCAACCAAACTGCAATTGTGAGTCTTGCCAAACTCCACAGGAATAGCACCCACGAGGCACGACTGTACTACCTGACACTGGTACATGAATGAATCTGGCAGGCCCCAAAGCCCCCTTGCGGTATCTTTAGTATTCTTCAGCTTATATGTAGCAGCTTGGTATGTAGGCTAACAGGAATTGTCGAGAGCAGCAAGCGTGTACAGGAGCTGGTATCACCAGAAGCCGAGTGAAACGAGTGTGCGGGTTCGCAGTAATCTGAGCAGCAAGCAAATCAGGAGGGGTCGTTCAGCTATGGCGAGCCCCAAGGAGAAAACATGTCAGTAATGTAAGCTACACTGTTACAGTACTCCAATGATTTTGTACCACTGTTTATCTCGTTAACTTGTTAACGTATGAAAGCTGAGCAGGAGAAGGTACTAGTTTTTGAAAATGTCTTCTGACCGCTTCGTTACTCTACAGTCGGAACCAGTATTCCAAAATAAAAGTGCTATGGCAAATATTTTATAGATTTTAACGATTTTATTTTACTTTTTCATTGAGTTGATGCACAATTTCGGAATCTACTTGATCAAACGCTCCTTTCCTGATCAAAGCGAGTTAAAATCACTAAGTAAGGTTCCAATTCAGTCTGGATTTCTGTTATTCCAGACTTTCACACAGTGTATGCTAAACTGTACATGTCAGTTCAATCAACCTATATTTTTTTAATGTGAAAAATCTTCAAATATTTGTTCACAGCAACTATTACAACTACAAATGCAATAAAACGTTCTTACTTCATCACCACGAATAAATTCTTAATATTCTGCAAGGGACAGAGAGAGAAAGAACTGAAAGAGCCTTAAAGGTCCCCGTTGTTTCAGTGCAGTATTTCACAGCAGTGTCACTCTGCACAGCCGTACTTCCACGATGTGCTGTATTTAGTGTAGAAATGTCAATACTTACCTGTGGAGCTGATGAAGACAGATAAAACGAGCATGGCTGAGTATCCTTGTCAGCAAGTTGTAAAACGGGTCACTCCATAAAGTGAAGTGTGTGATTAGAGAGAAGTAACCTCGGAGACTCAGGACAGAGGCGCATCCCTCCCTGTCTTCCGCCAACCAGTCGGGTCTCACACCAGCTGAGACCAGACAGAGTAGGCAGAGTATCTGATGAATGGGGACGCTAGGTCGAGCTTGCCATAACTATAGCCCAGAAATCCACTGGGGTTTTGTGGGGTTGAGAGTGAGAACTCAGGGGAAGTACGGCTCATTGTCTCCTCTGGAGTCTTTCTAATGACAGAGATCTGAGTGTAGTTTGACAGAAGATGCTCTGCAAGTAGAAGCACACTACAGAGGAGAGGTGAGATCATCATAAAATATTAAGACAACAGATCTCAAGTCGGTGAGGGTCGGAGACAGACGGACATTTTAGGCAGAACACGCTCTGTGTGAGGCCTTCACTTCCTCTCCTCTTTGAAAGCTCTATCTTTATAATGGATGGCAGAGTCTCCAGGGAGTGTCTAGACTATGGTGGGAAATCTAAATGGTCGGGAAAGCCACTCGCATCCTTGGTAAGCAGCGCGGAGCATGGGAGAAATGCAGCTCGAGAGGGAGACAGGAAGCAGGGAAGACCAGGTCTGCACCCCGAGCAACGCCATCCTAACCTGAATTCCATTTTTCATCTGTAATTGAAGGAGATTCCTGGAAAGGAGTCGTGGGGATTATATGATGCTGAAATGCCCTCAGATTCTTATTTTCTACCTTATTTCCTAATCTCTCCAAACCCCGAGTGCCCTCAGCTTCAGACCATGATGCTCTCTGTCTACATCCACACCACCCCCGCCTGTCTGGCCCTTCCCCTCTGGTCTCTCACTCTTCTTTTTTTTCTGCCTCCACCCTTTTTCTTTTCCTCCCTCTCTGCCCTCAGTTATTTATGAACACGACTTGAAATAGACTTTAGTATTTGATAAAAGCGTGATCCTTAATCCGAGTTGCCTGAGAAGTGCATTTCATTTTTATTCCCCATCAGAGATTGATGGAGGAGTGGGGCGGCTACCCACTCTGTGATTGCTAATGTAAATTCATTGGGTTCTGGTGGACATGTATAAAGATATGGAGGACTTGTATGTGCATGATAGTGCCACCAATAAGAGATTGTGTGCGTTCAAAGTAATGGAAAGGCTGGATTGTGGTGTGGCAGGGAGGTAAGGAATTATATGATGCATGTCTTGATTTATCAAAAGCGAGTTCACTTCTGAAATAAACCATTCTTCTAAAACATCACAATATTTGCAGAATCACTAAGTGCGATTCTTTGACTGCCTTCATCCCGTTTCATATTTCAACATTCACTTGTGCCTTCCTGAAGGAGGTGGAAAAATAAAATGGGTGATAAATTTAAGATGACAGTTACGCCATATGAATGAGGCCCCTTGTGTATCAATTCGCTCAAAGCCAGCTGCAAATTTAACTCAGCCTCCTTATGTGGCAATTACTGGTGGGTAACATAACCTGAATATATCTGCTTTGTTCATTACGCCAATGTTCTCTATAGCTGGCAAATGTTCTTTAGGATCCTACAGCAAATTAGCTCATCCCCCAGGACGTCTTTTATTGGATGATCCAACGCCAGAGGATGCCGCAAAACCACTTGAGCTCTCCGCAGCCTGCCCCGGTTGCCACAGGGTTAATATTTAAAAGCGCGAGCTCCCAGTCGTGTATTGATGATATGTTTTGAAAATTGCTGAGGCAGGCTCATTGTTACAGTGCTGTCTAGAAGATAGCCAACCACCCCCCCTCCCTCCCTCTCCCCCCACGCCTCCCGTTTTCCCCTCCCCCTATACAGCCGCCAGATGGAAAACACACTAAAGCATGTAATGTAATATAGCTTGGCACACAAAGGTGTTTCACACCAACTTCATCTGGCCTCTGATCTGCTACAAAACAGGTTTTTACCAAACACACTCCTGGTCACCAACCTATGGTTGGTTTCTTGCACTGGGGGAGAAAAGAAATTGCACAAGCACACACATGAAGACAGTGAACATCAGCAGCTAAAAGTAGAAAACAAGTGGAAAATAGGCTGTGCCTCCCAATTGCCTGTGGCATACTTTAAGATCCCCCCCTTTTTTTTCTTCTTCAGCATTGTCTTCTTCTTCTCTTCAATGAACTAAAACTGCCACAACTTCAGTGCAACATCTCAGTCACAGACAGTGAAAAGAAGAAAGAGGAGCAATCTGTTAGTCCTCCACTATCACCAGCATCATCATCAACACAAGCCTCTTCCCCTCCTTCCCTCCCTCTCCCCCCCTCCTCCCCGCAGAGCTCTCCGCCACGACTCCCAGCTTCCTGCCTCCCCCCTTCCTCCCTCACCCCTCCACCTCCTCCCCCCCCTCCCCGGGACGCTGAATTTTACAGTACCGTCTGCAGGATCCCGGTTTGTTCGGCGCACTCCTCTATGCAGAGCAACACGGCTCCGGTGGAGGAACGCTGGAGGCAGCTGTCAAGCGCAGGCTGCTGCTGCTGCTGCTCTAGTTGAGCCTCGGCGCTGTACCGACTGATTTCACATTCACCAATAAGAGACGGCACAGGGGGAGAGAAAGAGAGAGAGAGAGAGAGCAGAGAGACAGAGGGAGAGTCTCGAAGTGAGTGGTGTGGAGAGGCAAGTGGAGTGGAAGAGTGTCAAAAGAAAAAAGAGGTTACAACACCTCCCCAGCTCTCTTTCCCTTCTCCCGTCTGCTTTTTCCCCTCTTTCTTGTGTTGGCTTGGAGGAAGAAGAAGAGAAAGAAGGGTGGTTTTTAAAAATTAACTGAAGAGCAAGCTGCTTGAAGAGAAAGAAGCGAAAGAAGAAGAAGGGGGGGAAACCTAAAGTCAAGCCCCATTGAACAGTTGAGAGGGAGGGCTGCCTCAGTGGAACAGGGACCAGTAAAGCTCTCTGTCCAAACGCTCGGACTCCTCTTGACACCCACACTGGCTGGACTGGTCCCAGTGCTCGGCCCTTCTCTCCTGCGCCCGCCTGCCCACACCTGTCCCACTTCCACCATGATGATGTACTTTTGGGTGAGTACCGGACCACAAAGTGTGGATCTCTTTTTGCGCTCACACCGCTCCGGCATGGGAAGAGAGTTGGTGTGTATAGTGTGTGTGGCGTATGCGTCAGAGTGCCTTTCAGCCCCCTACAGTATATACAGTGCGAGTTTGTGTGTGTGTTGCGCCTCCCACATGCATGAACAGAGCTGATGGTTTTCCACTTCCATGTGTTTTATTGATGCTGCAGCCAGATGCCATAGAGGCCTGCGTGTACATGTCGGATTTATTCAGCCTTTAAATGATTGTTACTTACACTAATACCTTTACAAATATTGTTATTTAACTTCTACTGACAGTCAAACTACCCAGCATGCAGCGTGTCTGCCATTTGAAACTATATCTCCCCGATTTAACGCCGGTTCTTCTGGGACGCATTTTGATTTCTTTGTCCTCGCTGGTGTTTCAAATATGTTTTGTGATGTTGTTGTTTCTGTTGCCCATACATCTAAGTCAGCCAGAATTCCTCCTATTTTTGTCTGTTCATAAATTAAGCAGCATTAAGCGCAGAATGAGGGTGATTACAGAGCTGCTGATTTCTGTTTGAGATCATGTGTGATTAGTCAGATTGGTTTTGTCTCATCGGTGGTTTGTATTCTCACCACAACAATACCCACCCAGTGCTTCTGCATTTATACCCTCTCTTATTTTTTATTTCTCACTGATGCACAGTGCAGATCATTTTAATCCTGCACTGTTTTGCTAACTTTTATTTTGAACCTTCACAGAAAGACAAAGTAAATGAAATTATTTTCCAATGCAACACATATTTGCAGCATTGCCACTGTAAATAGTTTGAGCTGTAATGCAGTTACAGATGTGTCTCCTGCAGACTGTGTGTGTGTGTGTGTGTGTGTGTGTGTGTGTGTGTGTGTGTGTGTAGCTATTGATCGCGAGTTCAGATTTCTGGGGAGAGAGCATCTTTTTTGGAGTGGAAAGTTATTTTACGTAGATGACTCCATTATATGACTTAATACTTGAACCACATTTTTTTTTCAAACTTGGAAGTGAGAGCAAAACATGAATAACAAACCCATTTCGAGCATGCTATGAATGAAACAGCACTGGGTTATTGATTTAGGGCTCAGATTTCTGGAGAGAGAGGATGTTTTGGGGCCAAAGTTACTCTAAGTGGAGAAATGAGCTCAAATTTGAACCACAAGAAAAGTTTGCTTTTGTTTCCAAGTAGAGTGGGAGTGACAGGAAGGTGTATGATTTCCAAATTATGTCATAACGAAAAGAAAACAATACAGCGTGCAGGGTTTTTCGAGGCCTCGCTCCAGCACTGGCCTCCCTGATACTCGAAGTGTTTCTCCTGTGATGCCTCCTGGGTTTCGGTGCTTATTGAGAGAGGCTCGTCGCTGTCTTCGGGCCTCTTTGAAGGTGTGCTGTGAGGATGCAGATCACCTTTTGCCACCTTCAGTTTCATCACTAATTGTCCCTGCAGCCGTGCAGAAGGGATGACCACACACAGATATAGGCTGAATGGAGTGAAGCAGTAATGCTGACAGTTTACAGCCCTGCAGGCTAATTAGTGTGACATTGGGCCTCCTGTACTGTAGTGTTTCTCTCATCTCATCAGTTCAGGAACGATTGCATCTCTGTGTTTTCGTGTATGTTCATGAGTGGATCCAGTGAATAAAAGTGAGGTAAAGATTTTATTACTTTCACTTTCTACTCACTTCAGAAGCATTTTGCTCAATTTTGCATTAATTCAATATGTGACTATTTTATAATTTCCCCATCACTCTAAAATCCATTATGCATCCAGGCTCGCTACAGCTAAGAGGAGGATTACTGAGGTAAAGGAAACACAAAAGGATGGGAATTACTGTATCAGTTTTCAGATAATAGGGGTGATACAGTATCGTACAATAAGTAAGTTAGATGTATTGATCAACAGAATGTTAACATCAGTTTTAAAAGATTCATTATTTATGTCATTTATCAAACCATTTACTGGTTCTAATAAATAAATAAATAAATAATAATAAAAACAAATCTTTGTTTTACATCATTACATTTTTGATATTTTGGGGGTTTTGACTGTTTTTTGGACAAAACAGGCAACCTGAAGATGCAGCCTTGGGCTCTGGAAAATTGTGATGGGTCTGTTTGACAATTTTCAAACATTTTGTTGACCAAATGATTGATCTTAAAAAATAATGGTCACATTAATAGACAGTGAAAATGAGTGGTAGTTGAAGCCCTAAAATGTGATGATTGGTTAGGTTTAAATTCAGAGGATGGGATATGGGGGAAAAAAACACATTACAGTGATTGTGATAGTGCTGAAACAATTATGACGATTAATATAAAATTAGTTGAATACTATTTAGATTAATTGTCATTTATCAAGAAAAAAAAAGGTGAATATTTGTAAATTTTTCAAATGTTGTAAATGCTGTACATTTAATGGTTAGGTTTGGGACACTATTGTTAACACAGTGTGGTGAAGCCGAAGACCATTTTCCACAATGTGGACAATAGAGTTCTAACAAAACAAGCGATTTGGTTCAGGGAAATTGTGATGGACTGTCTTCACGATTTTCCAACATTTAGACAGAACAGTTTATCGACTGAACTGAAAAGCAAAAAATCAGAAAACAGATTAATACACACTGAATGCTCGTTAGTGCCCTAGTATAAAAACAGAAACAGTGACGTAACTTTTTGACTGCTTAGTAAAGAAATGGGAAGTGAGAATGGGCAGGGTTTTAGCTTCACGTAGCACTGCAGAAAGTATCGTTGTCAGGTTTCCACGTTTGCTGCAGACCCAAAGATCAACATCTATTCAGCAGCAGAACATTTGCAGGGTAACATGAAAAGTGAAACGGCAAGAGTATTGCATTGCACTTGTCATTCCTGAGAACAGTAACATCCCAACCAGTGCATGATCAATGATTTACCACCCATCCCTGGTGTCTATAGTGTGTGCATGTGTGTGTTAGTCGGCCAGCGTTTAGCTGCAAGAGGAGGGTGGGACCGCCTCCTGTTTGAACTGCAGGTGGTGAGCATTACCTGCGGTCCCTCCGGAGGCCTGTCAGCCGTGCATCAGTCTGGGGAACCTGCAAGCTCCCCTCATTAGAATATTTATTCACCAAGCAGATGTTCTTATCCAGGGCAATTACCTTTGGCTTACATTTCCCTATTGCCCACTGATATAGATGAATGTGTATACAAAGACGTCCCAGGTTATGCATGGGGCCCTTGGGTGCCACCCACCTTTCCTCCCCCATATGCATGGCGGGCAAGCCAGCGACCGTCTGGTCTGCCACAGCGCAACCCAAACCCAACCTCAACTCCAGTGTGGTAATTGGAGGAAGTGGAGGCGACATCTCCTGCGATGGCCACACAGTGATGGAGAGACGGCCTGTATATCATTCTCTCCACCCGGCTGTTCCTTTGCATTAGAGGCAGAGAGAAAAAGGGAAGAGGCATGGAGTGGAGAAACCATGCATGCTTCTGTCCTCCCCTCAGTGTGATGAATAATTTAGCAGTGCAGGGCCCTCGCTGTCGAGTAGAGATGGTGGTAATGGGGAGCCTGGATATATATGGCATGGCAAGGAGCAATGGTTTACGTTAGACTTCCCCGACCAACGCACTCAAGTGTGCCGCAGGCTGCTCACATGGTGTGTTTGGCCTGCATTAATGCTTTGTTTTTATCTGCAAAATAACCGACAAAGAACGTCCACAAGCAGCAGCTTAAAAATCAGGAAGGAGCTGGTTTGAGGCTCTGGAGCTGTGGTCATTAGTAGGAGTGGATTCCCTTTAGGCAGACGTTCAATCAAAGCTGTTGTGATTTGGTCATATATGGTGCATTATACTGCAAATTGTATCAGTAGGTTAGATTTTCTTAGAAGATGAAGAATAGCCCGAAGCAGTCCCTTATTGCACACGGTGCATATATGTACAGCATGTGTTGTGGTTACAATGCATGCATATGGTCTCAGCCTCTGGTGAGACATTACAAACCCACAGCGGAGGCGTTTGCAGTCTAACTGGCAGAAGATGTTGAAATTCATGGCGGACGGTGTGTGGAGGCAGAGCTGATCAGCCATTCTGGGCGGGAGGGCAGCAAGTCCAGGCCGCCGGTTTCATATTGCAAGATGAAGTGCTTGCGATCGTTTGTTAATGTATTAATTGATCTGTGTCCTCAGACGGGCGAATCAGGAGTAGTGTCACGTAGACTCTTTAGTACTCCCCGAGACGCCTTCATTAGCTGCTGCTGGCCGGCTCTCCACCCCTATTACAGGGCCGCGTTGCCACACACTTTACCTGACTGCTGTAATAACTTTAGACATTTCTATCTCCCCGGCAAGTCCTCCGACAGCCAGAACAGTTTGGGGGCTTAACATCAAATGTGAGGAGCTTCTTTGAAAGGCTTATACTGCAGGTGATTCACTCCGGGGGTGTCACGTGGGCTTGTTTTGTCTGTGAGTTGTTGCTCTGCTTCTCTTACAAGTTTCAGTAACGGCTGTTGCAATCAGTCATTAACTTCCAGCTCAGTGTTTTATAATCTGGAAGGCACGCATGCCTTTGTAGCAGTGCTGATGTAACAGCTCTGCTACAAAGCCGAGCTGAGGAAGCAGTGGAGTCAGTACATCCAGGAAACGTGTTATCTGTTTAACCACTAATACCGATCAGATTCAACTTCATCAGGTTCTAAGTTCTATGTTTTTCCAGTGTAAATCTGACAGCTTCAATTCAGGAAGTGGAATTAGAGTTTTCATTTTTTTTATTTTTGGACCTAGGCCCCACCCTTTGTACTCTGTGGGATCATTAGCAATCAGTAGCTTAGCAGTAGTAGTAACAATAATTCTGTCAGCTTTTGGTCTCTTCCCCTTGGGGCTAATGGGTCTAGAGCCCAGCTAATTGTGATTAGGCTCTGACAGCAGGTTTTACTTGCAGGATTTTCACACCACAGTCCTCTTTGATATTAGCCGCACAGCTGATAAAGAGATTAGATACAG